TCTTCGCGAATGCACGTGTTGCCGACGATGTGCGCGTAGACTCCTCCTGCAACCTGATCTTGGACTTCACAGAAGCCCCCCGATGGAGCCAGAACCTGGAGGTCGACATAATTTCTGCAGGGGTGCTTCTTTCGCCACTGCAGCACGCGGTTTGTCATAGTGTCCGCCGCTTCCAATTCGAGGCCAGGACCCTCGGCGCCAGAGGCAGCCGCGCGCGAGTCCCGGGCACGCTTCTCCATGCTGCCCCGCGCGCGGCGCCTCGGGCGCCAATGCCAGAGGCGCTGTTGAGCCGGAAAGGCTGCGATGGACGACCGCGATGGCGGCTGCGAACACGAGGGCGAGGATGCGGGCGAGCACCGAGACGTCTAAGTGGTGAAGGCAAGGGTAGCGCGAGGCGGGGGCGAAGCTGAGGACGAACATGACCTCGGAGCAGAGGTCGACGGTGAGGAAGATGAGGGCGGGAGCGAAGCTGAGGACGAAATATCCTCGGGCAACGGTAAGGAGTCGGTTGGATTGCAGAGAGCGAGGGCGAGGTCGGAAGCAGCGTCAGCATCAAATGGTAGATCGCACGATGGTTGAGAGGAGCATTTTCTTCATAACAAAAAAGATGGCGCAGATGAAGAGTCACTCTTGCCATCTACGCAAGGACCGCAGGGCGCCAGAGGCAGCCGCACAATTGCGTCAGAGGCAGCAGCCGTCAGCACGATATGCGCATGAGAATGAAACGCTCCGCGCTGTCAACGCAAGGACGGTGCAAACACCCTCCTTCGCAACAACCTTCATGCGAGAATTTACCCCTCAGAGCCGACGCCACCAGGCCCCTCTCGGAAGCGAGTGTTCGAGGGACCACTCGCGTGGCCAGGGGCGCGCCAGAGGCAGCGTTGTGGCGCGCCAGAGGCAGCGCGTCGCCTACTCTTCGTCATCCTCGCCAGGGGCAGTGTGTCGCAGGAGCAGCAGCAGGAGAAGCTCGATGGGGGCGGAGCAGCAGCAGCACCAGCAGCTGGCAGCAGCGCCAGAGCATGAGCGTTCCTTTTTTTCCCGCGGCACGCCGCACCAGCGGCGCAGAGCGCACCTAGCTGATACGGAGCCCCGAGTCTGCCGAACCCTGCGCCAAACGAAGGAAGCGCCAGAGGCAGCCTGCAGGCCATTCCTGCGTGAAAAGATATCAGCGCCAAAGGCAGCCTGGATCAGTTGACGATCCCGGTGCGATTATTCATCTTCTTGCGGCCTGGCTCTACGGGAGCCGTCTCCTCGTCGTCGCGGCGGCCCTCCTCCGAAGCCGCTGCCGCTGCACCGCCGGCTGCGCTGGGAGATCCCCCACCCGCGCCGCCCTGTGCCCTCGAAGAGCTTGCGCCAGAGACGTCGTCAGCGCGGCGCGCGCCAGAGGCAGCGTCTCCGAGAGCCGCTAATTTTGCCTTGTTGCGAAAGTACCATTCGCGATTCACCCGTCGCTTCCTAGCGCGAGGGTCCTCGACCTTTTCGCGGATCTTCCCAGAGCTGTCCGCGATCACTGGCTTCGCCTGTCGGTGGACCTTCAGCGGGAAATTCCTGCCCTGGAAAACATCCGTCTTGTCGTTTTTTGTCCTGCACACGCGCGCCAGAGGCAGCGGCGGCAGCCTCGGCAGGCAGCTTCGCGTTCCCGACGCCGTCCGCGAGCGCCCTCAGAGTCGAAGTCAAATCTTCGCACTTGCATTTGTACTCGGACTTATCCTCCTTGAGCTCGCGGATCTCCAGCTCCTTCTCTGCGAGCGCCAAAGCCACATGCTGATTCTCCTGCACGCGCGCATCGTACTCTGCGGCGGCGGAACCGCAGCCGCCAGCAGACGTTCGCGCGCGCCCCATGGCGCGGACGCCTGCGCGAGGAGGAAAGCTGGAGCAGAAGAAGAGCTGCGAGAGGCCAGCGGTAAGCGATGCCAAGGTCAGCGCGCTTGCGTGACTTATCGCCCCCCCCGCGCATGCTGTAAATTACATTTGATTATGACCACATGTCCATCCTAAATATGAACTCATACCATCCCAGCCAAGCCGGGTTCCCCCCCCCTGCGGTTCCCTTGTAAAAAACAGTATGCGGTGACATGTTTTGTTCTAACATATCACTTGTTCACGAATCCCTTGCAAAAAAAAAAAAAAAAAAAAAAAAAAAAAAAAAAAAAAAAACGAAGTGCACGCGCGCGCGTCGTGGCGCGCGCATGCCGAAACCCTTAAAAAACCTTCGGTTCCGGAGAGGTTTCAAAATTGAATTCCCCAAAAACATATAAAACACATGGTTTCGCAACACTGATTCTCTCTCTCTCTCTCTCTCTCTCTCTCTCTCTCTCTCTCTCTCTCTCTCTCTCTCTCTCTCTTAAAACAAAAAAAAAAAACGCGCGAGCTCTTGCGAAATCTCAAGAAAACCATAGGTTTTCCAAGATTTTCAAAAAATGCCACCAAACGGGCTTCGCGCGCGCGCATGTCGAAATCTGTCGAACGCTCTTGCGCGTGTGCCGTCGCGAGAATCCTCTGCAAAAAATGGAACGAAGTGCAGACGCGCGCGTCGTCGCGGGCGCATGCCGAAATCCTTCAAAAACCTTCGGTTTCGGAAGAATGTCGAAATCGTGCGCCCAAAAAACCTACAATAACACAAGGTTTCGCAACACGGGTTTTCAACAAAATTGCGCGCGCGCGCTCTTGCGTCGTCGTCGTCGTCGTCCTCCCTCCTCCCTCGTCGTCGTCGTCGTCGTCGTCGCCGTCGTCGTCTTCTGTCTTTCCTCGTCGTCTTTGGCGTCGTCGTCGTCTCCGTCGTCGTTGTCGCCGTGGTCGTCCTTCCTCCCTCGTTGTCTTCGTCGGCGTCTCGTCGTTGTCCCTCCTATTTCGTCGCGTCGTCGTCGTCGTCGTCGTGGTCTTCACTCCTCCCTCGTCGTTATCCTCCTCCCTCGTCGTCGTCGTCCGTCGTCGGCGTCTCGTCGTCGTCCCTCCTATTTCGTCGCCGTCGTCGTCGTCTTCGTCGTCGTTGTCATCGTCGTCGTCTTCCCTCCTCCCTCGTCGTTGTCGTCGTCGGCGTCGCCGTCCTTCCTCCTTCTTCGTCGTTGGCGTCGTCGCCGTCTTCCCTCCTCCATCGTCGTTGTCGTCGTTGTCGCCGTCGTCGTTTTTTCTCCTCCCTCGTCGTCGTCTCCGTTGGCGACGTCGTCGTCGTCTTCGTCGTCGTCGTCGGCGTCGTTGTCGTCGTCGTCGGTGTCGTCGTCGTCGTTGTCGTCGTCGAAAACATTGGAGACGTCGTCGGTGTCGTCGCAGTCGCTGTCGGCAGCGCCGTCGTCGTCGATGTCGCTGTCGTCGTCGGCATCGGTGTCGTGGCCAGGTGCCACGCAGTACCTACCGTCACGGTCTTGTCTGAAGATGTCTTGCGACCAAGTTGCGGGTGGGATGTTGGGATGTTTGCACGAGCAGTGGAGAGGACAGCTTCAAGACAGTCGAAGTTGCGAAATCCGCAAGGAAATTCAATGTCTCTCTCCCAGGAAATTCAATTTCCTGGGAGAAAGGAATCAGGACATCTTCGCGAATGCACGTGTTGCCGACGATGTGCGCGTAGACTCCTCCTGCAACCTGATCTTGGACTTCACAGAGGCCCCCCGATGGAGCCAGAACCCGGAGGTCGACATAATTTCTGCAGGGGTGCTTCTTTCGCCACTGCAGCACGCGGTTTGTCATAGTGTCCGCCGCTTCCAATTCGAGGCCAGGACCCTCGGCGCCAGAGGCAGCCGCGCGCGAGTCCCGGGCACGCTTCTCCATGCTGCCCCGCGCGCGGCGCCTCGGGCGCCAATGCCAGAGGCGCTGTTGAGCCGAAAAGGCTGCGATGGACGACCGCGACGGCGGCTGCGAACACGAGGGTGAGGATGCGGGCGAGCACCGAGACGTCTAGGTGGTGAAGGCAAGGGTAGCGTGAGGCGGGGGCGAATCTGAACACGAAAATGACCTCGGAGCAGAGGGCGACGGTGAGGAAGACGAGGGCGGGAGCGAAGCTGAGGATGAAATATCCTCGGGCAACGGTAAGGAGTCGGTTGGATTGCAGAGAGTGAGGGCGAGGTCGGAAGCAGCGTTAGCGTCAAATGGTAGCTCGCACGATGGTTGAGAGGAGCAGTGGCTTCATAACAAAAAAATGGCGCAGATGAAGAGTCACTCTTGCCATCTACGCAAGGACCACAGGGCGCCAGAGGCAGCCACACAATTGTGCCAGAGGCAGCAACCGTCAGCACGATATGCGCATGAGAATGAAACGCTCCGCACTGTCAATGCAAGGACGGTGCAAACACCCTCCTTCGCAACAACCTTCATGCGAGAATTTACCCCTCAGAGCCGATGCCACCAGGCCCCTCTCGGAAAAGAGTGTTCGAGGGACCACTCGCGTGGCCAGGGGCGCGCCAGAGGCAGCGTTGTGGCGCGCCAGTGGCAGTGCGTCGCCTACTCTTCGTCATCCTCGCCAGAGGCAGTGTGTCGCAGGAGCAGCAGCAGGATGAGCTCGAGGGGGCGGAGCAGCAGCAGCACCAGCAGCTGGCAGCAGCGCCAGAGCATGAGCGCTCCTTTTTTTTCCCGCGGCACGCCGCACCAGCGGCGCAGAGCGCACCTAGCTGATACGGAGCCCCGAGTCTGCCGAACCCTGCGCCAAACGAAGGAAGCGCCAGAGGCAGCCTGCAAGCCATTCCTGTGTGAAAAGATATCAGCGCCAAAGGCAGCCTGGATCAGTTGACGATCCCGGTGCGATTATTCATCTTCTTGCGGCCTGGCTCTACGGGAGCCGTCTCCTCGTCGTCACGGCGGCCCTCCTCCGAAGCCGCTGCCGCTGCACCGCCAGCTGCGCTGGGCGATCCCCCACCCGCGCTGCCCTGTGCCCTCGAAGAACTTGCGCCAGAGATGTCGTCAGCGCGGCGCGCGCCAGAGGCAGCGTCTCCGAGAGCCGCTAATTTTGCCTTGTTGCGAAAGTGCCATTCGCGATTCACCCGTCGCTTCCTAGCGCGAGGGCCCTCGACCTTTTCGTGGATCTTCCCAGAGCTGTCCGCGATCACTGGCTTCGCCTGTCGGTGGACCTTCAGCGGGGAATTCTTGTCCTGGAAAACATCCGTCTTGTCGTTTTTGTCCTGCACACGCGCGCCAGAGGCAGCGACGGCAGCCTCGGCAGGCAGCTTCGCGTTCCCGACGCCGTCCGCGAGCGCCCTCAGAGTCGAAGTCAAATCTTCGCACTTGCATTTGTACTCGGACTTCTCCTCCTTGAGCTCGCGGATCTCCAGCTCCTTCTCTGCGAGCGCCACAGCCGCATGCTGATTCTCCTGCACGCGCGCATCGTACTCTGCGGCGGCGGAACCGCAGCCGCCAGCAGACGTTCGCGCGCGCCCCATGGCGCGGACGCCTGCGCGAGGAGGAAAGCTGGAGCAGAAGAAGAGCTGCGAGAGGCCAGCGGTAAGCGATGCCAAGGTCAGCGCGCTTGCGTCACTTCATCCCAAAAGGCAACGTTGAGCTGGGCATGGATTGTCTGTCGGGAGCACTACACGAACACGAGGAAACTAAGCGCGACCCAGGAAAAAAAACAACTCGACCATGAGAAAACGAAACGCGACCAGGAGAAAACGAAACCCGACCACGGTAAAACTAAAGACGACCAGAACAAAACAAAAACGCGACTACAGGACAGAACTACCAAACACGACCAGGAGAAAACTAGGTAGGCTTAAGAGACAACTAAATACGACCATAGGAACGCCAAACACGACAAGGAGAAAACGAAGCACGACCAGGAAAACGCTAAACACGACCAGGAGGAAACTGAACGCGACCATAGTAAGAGGCAAGCTAAACACCACGAAAGAAATGAAAGAATACGAGGAGAACAGCAAACAGGAGAACGAAAAGTTCACAGAGAGCCACAATGCACAGAGAGCACAATGATGCGAGTGGCGATGACGTCGACGAGGACGATGTCGTCGGCGGTTTTCTTCTTTCGCCCGTGCGAAGGCGAGCGTGCTCAGCAGCGACGCGCTGCGCGCAGAAGTAAGGAAGCGCCAGAGGCAGCTAAGGCAGAAGAGAGTAAGTGTCCTACAGACGCGCCAGAGGCAGCGACCCAGAAGTGCCACGCTCTCACCCTTGCCGCCTGGGCAGGCGCCAGGTCCCTCTCTCCTGAAACTGGAGGAGCCGGGCATTCCTGTTGTGCCTTTTCCTATGTTCGAACATCGGTTGTTAGAGGTACAACGTGTACAGGTAATGGCAGGAGCAGAGGAGGCATCCGTAGTTGAACAGCTCAGCAAGTGTTATGTAATGGCCCGCCCTGATGCACCACGTCTCGCCAGAGGCAGAGGTGACGTGGCCCATGACACGCTTGAGAACGTAGGTCTGGCCATCCTCCATGTGCAGGACCTTGTTGATTTCCGCCAGAGGCAGGAATTCCGTTTTCCTTTTCGCATTCGCCCAGGCCAGATACTCACGCGCCCGCTCGGTCTTGACCAGCTGGTGATGCCAGAAATTGACGTGGAGGAGCACCTCCACGTGGCCAGGGTCCACCTCGATCCATGCGAGGCGCCCCCAGTGCCGCGCCTCGCCGCTGTGCTTCTCGAGGATGTGGTGGACGTGCCTTTCGTCGCTGGGATTGTCGGCCACGCGCTTCGACTGCTTGAAGGCCTCTGTCGCGAGCGCCGCCCACCCGTCGCCCAGCACGGCATTCGGGCATGCGTCGGCGAAGGGCGCGACAGGCGCGCCAGAGGCAGCGTCAGGCCACAAGGCCTCCTGGAGACGCTTCTTATAGTGTTGTTTCTCGGAGGCCACGGCGCGCACGACGTCCCAGATCTGCCCCGCGTTTTCTGGGTCGTTGCTTCGGTGGGGCATGCCGTAGCGAAACTGCCCCAGCGTAGGGGCGGGCTCGCAGAAAGCGTCGAGCCATTTCAAAAGCGCATAGCCGTTTCCGTCCTGCCGCTGCGGCATGTGCCAGTTACGGACATGAGCTATTGCGTTCGCTTCCCAACTCGCCCTGTTGCCGACGAAATGGTACTGCTTAGGCCTGTTCGATCGGTAGATCGTGCGCAGCTCGGCCTTTTGAGCCTCGGGCAAACGCGACAAGGCCCGCTCAGACAGAGGAATCGTCAGCGACACCAAACCGGGGTCGTCGGTGACACGAGCAACAAAGTCCTGCTCGCCAGAGACACCAACCTCTGACTCGCCCCCTAATTCTGATGCGGCAAGATCTGACTCGCCCCCTGATTTTGATGCACCAGAGGCAGCTGACGCGCAAGAGGATGCAGCAAGATCCGCCTCGGTCGTTCTCGGATGGCTTGTGGAGCGTATCCTCGTCCGCCGCTGAGGCTCTTCCGTCCGCTGCTCGTCCCCCCCCCGTTGGGTCGTGTCCATCGACTGGCTTGCAGGCGGAGGCGCCGCGATCGCGCTGCCCGATGGCGTCGCCACCAAAGGCGCAGCATAGCCGCCAGAGGCAGGCAGGGGCGGCGCGGCGGCAGCAGCAGCAGGCGCGGAAATGTGAGGAGCCTGGCAGGCTGGTGAGTCGCCGCCGCCGCCAGGGCAGCGCCCTGGCGGCGGCGGCGGCGAGCTGGCGGCCGGCCGCGGCGGCGGCGACGAGCTAGCAACGTCAGTTGCGCTCATCGATGCCAGCGGTGCCACATAATGCAGGAGTGGCATGACACGCGCGCCAGAGGCAGCGGTGCTGGTATTCTGTGAAGTCGCCGCGGCAGGCGGCGGCGCGGCCTCCTGAGGCGCCGCAGGCGGCGGCGCCTGCGGCGGCGCCGCGGCAGGCGGTGGCGCCACCTGCGCCAGCCCCGGAGGCTGCGGCGGGCACTGAGCTGGAGCTGCCGCGGGAGCAGCTGGCGCAGCAGGACCAGCAGCTGCAGCTGGCAAGGGGGCTGCAACACCCGCAGCAGCTGCAGCTGGCGCAGGAGCAGCTGGCGCAGCAGGAGCTGCCGCAGGAGCAGCAACGGCAGCAGCTGCAGCAGCAGCAGGAGCGGAGAACGCGCCAGAGCCAGCGGGCGCGGCAGAGGCAGCGGACGCGCCAGAGGCAGCGGAGTCGTTTGGGAGAGCCTGAAAGTCGTGGGCGTATAGTACTGGAACTCGACGTTCGCCTTCCATCAAGTCGAAAAGGACTGCCCGGGTCAGATCCTCTGGCTCCCGCGAGAGCCTCGCCTTACTAGCAGGCCCCCACCACAAACCGAGCAGCCCATGAGCAGCCGAATCGTCACGCATAATTTTGGCGGCCCCGTTGACGGAGCATCCGACGATGATCTCCACGCGGCACGCCACCGCCAACTGCAAATCAAATGGTGACTGGTGCCATTTTTCTGCGCGACCAAATCTGTCCTTCTTCTGTGGGTGATGCTCTTTGTCATTGGGTCCACGCTTCACATCAGAGACCATGGGGTGGCTCCTGGCCAGAGACGCGATCCTGTAGATGTCCGTCCGGTGCATGTGCGTCTCCTGCCCCGCGCCAGAGGCAGCGACCGAATACTTTGGCAGCGTTGTCTCGACACCGTCAATACCTATCACCGAAGTCACGTCGTGAGCAGGCACGAGGAACAGCGTCATCCACCATTCCTGGGCGACCTTGCCATTTGAGAAATTGGTGTGCGCACACCAAGGCCTCTGGAAGCCTTTGGTTGGCCTTCCATGCTTCCGGAATTGGGGGGGGGCCACCAGGTCTCACGGGATGTATTTGTCGCCAGGACCTCCAGGACTCGGCTGACGACACCGCGGGGAGGTCATCCACCACAGAAGAGCGCGCGCCAAAGGCAGCCTGCTCCGCCGCGCCGCGGCAACCCATCGCGGCCAACGCGCCGCGTTCGCGCCGGCCCCGCTGGAGCCAGCAAACGCTACGGACATGCGGGAATGCGGGAAGAGCAGGTGGAGGACGAGGGGACCAGCAGCAGCAGCACCAACAACAGGAGCAGCAGCAGGAGAAGCTGGAGGAGGCGGAGCAGCAACAGTGGCAGCAGAAGGCAACAGCAGCCTGCACGCCATTGCTGCGTCAACGGATATCAGCGCCAGAGGCAGCCTGCGGAGGAGCAAGAGCAGCAGCAGGAGAGACTTGCGGAGGCGGAGGGGCATGAAAGTGGAGGAGAAGGAGCAGCGGGAGGAGAGGCTGGAGGAGGCGGAGGAGCAGCAAGAGCAGCGGCAGCAGCAAAGGCGGGAGGGGTACGGCACTTGGGGGGACGCGAGCCAGAGCAGATACCTCTTGGGTTCGCGCAGAGGCTCAACCACGCGAGGTTCTGGCATTACCAGTGCCCCTGGACTCCACAGGCTTGCCGAGCCAACCACTGGCGCACCCTTGGCGTCGCGGCGTACGGGTGCGCTCGCGGTTGGCTCGGCAACCCCTCGGAGTCGCGGGCTATTGGCATTGCGAGAACATCGCGTGGTTGAGCCTCTGAGCGAACCCAGGGGGGCACCTGCAGGAGGAGGAGCAGCAGCCACAACAGGAGCAGCAGCTGGAGGAGGAGCAGCAGCAGCAGCAGCACCAGCAGCTGGCAGCAGCGGCAGAGCATGAGCCTGTTCTTTTTTGTTCTGCGGCACGCTGCGCATCAGCGGCGCAGTCCAGAGCACCCAATACAGAACCCTAGTCTGGAGCACCCTGCGCCAAACGAAGGAAGCGCCAGAGACAGCCTGCAAGGCATTTCTGAAGAAAAGATATCAGCGCCAGAGGCAGCATGCAAGCAAATGCTGCGCGGAAACGTATTAGTGCCAGAGGCAGGGAGACTCCCGCTCACCCCTTCCAACTGCATTTCCGTTTCGCGGCGCCCCCGGCTTGGTTCGACTCCCGCCATTGCCTGTGGACAAGGATCGGGGGATCCATGTACAATTTGTACATGTCAAAAGCACTGCAGAACCGTGCGCCCAGGTAGAACAAATGGGCGAGCGTGACGACTTGCCCAACTCGGATCTCCACATCGAAGTCACGCTTCCAAGGGGCCCTCGCGCCAGAGGCAGCGGCTCTCCAAGGAGACGCGCGGGTCCGACGGAGAAGCGTCGTCTGGCCACCTGCTTCGTCCAGAACCCACCCAGCCTGCCTCCACGTGAGGCTTTTGTCGGATGTCCGGTTGGACAGCCAGATCCGCGCTTCCGCGGTCCTTGCGAACTGGTTCGAGACGCTTCCAGCCGAAGTCCTGGATGAGTCTGACCTCCCCGCCGTGTTTGCTGAACAAGTGCTTCAAGAACTGGGGAACGATGTCGATCTTAAAAATGTCGCGCAGCACCTTCCACGAGGGTGAATCTTCTGAATGTCGCGGCAAACACATGACATGCGGATCACCGGCAGAGGCGCGTTTCAAGTGTGGCCAGGCGCTGGTAAGCCAACACTTCTCGTCGAGAGGAACGTCGACATGCATCCTGAAAGGAGCCAAATAATGCAACTTCTGCG